AGTGGACTTCGCGTGAAAAGTCGAACCCATGTAGAATAAAGTATTATAGACCTCATTCGTCCCATGATATAGTGAATTTTGTAAGAAAGTGAACAACATATGTTAAGATCAAAACCATTGATCTCTATTACTGAACATTTACCTTTCACATATATATAGAATATATGCGTAATGTTTGCATATCAAACTAAATGAAAATATTTATATTTAGCTTAAGTACATAAAATTCATCAAATGTATTTTTTCACAGCCATATATATTCGGGAATTATTGTTAATTTTTAATATTTAAAATAACTTATTTCTTTTTAGTTTTCTAAAATGTATTGCACGCTTATTCAAAAATCAGTTTTTATACGTCTAATATATGTGTATATATAATAAATGTATTACGCGTGCGTAATACATTCATTATATATACACATATATTAGACGTAAGATATTTGTAAAGTTAGTCCTTTTATTTATAAAAATTAGATTATTAGTTATAAAAATATACTTTAACTTTAGATGTTTCTGAATAGGTCAGAATGATAGATATCAAGCAATAAAATTGGAGCAACTATTCAACAAACCTGTCTACACGTTTGTTAAAACTGATCAAAATGCCAATATTAAATGGGGTGTACGGTATTATGTTCCACGTACATTAAGGCAAACTGGATTCAAGAATTAAATGTATTAAAATATAAGAATTAAAAAATGTTTAGTATGCTAAATTATTAGTTTGATGATATATATCGCATAAATCAATAGATATCTTTAATCCAATTTAAGCACTTCAAGGTATTTTTTCTGCATTTGAGTTATCAAATTATCTAGCCTAAAAAAATAAAACACAAGATAAATCTATGTTAAAATTGAACATCGTAATAAAAAAAGACTTACATGTAACGCATGATCAAATTATTGTATATCACATTATCTTCTGATTGAATAATGCTGCTTAATTCAGTGGTCGAGATATTTACAGATTGATAGTTGTTAGATTGTTGAGGAACACTGTTAGTGTCCGATTGTGTCATTCTTTGATATTCTTCCCAATATAATTCCGTCATAGCAGTAACAGAAATAAATACTTTTTCTAGTTTTGATAGTTCGTCTTGCAACTTATCTATCTGCCTGTAGAAAATATATATTGAAAATATATGAGACGTATCGTTCACAATAAACTTTTAATACCTTGTAATATCAATTATGTTTTCATTACAAAGTTGTGCTTCACGTGTAGAAATGAATTCAAACACTAATTTCGACATGTCCAATGGCTTTGCTGTTTTATGTGGACTTTCTTCCTTAAATTTCAAATATACATCACATATTTTGTCATATCTATAGAAATAGTATAAGAGAAAATATTAAAATATAGCACATTTTACAATTATTTATAATACATTATACACTTACAGTACTGATAAATTCCCTATATAATCAGTAGCTTGAGCTTGATCTCTCAATTTATTATTATCTTCTTTCAAAGACATAAACTTCATTTTTATTTGATCGGCTGCACTAACTAATTTATCAACTTTGTTAAGATAAGTTTGTATCTTCCTTTTATCAGCTACATCTTCGTCCGTCGTATTCATATGTTTCATACGAATTGTATGTACTTGATCTGTAAGAATCTTTGTATTTTCCAATGTTTTCTTCATACTCGAGTTAAATTTATCGATCTTTTGATGTAATAAATCCCTAAAATATGAGAAATATTATCGAAATATTAGTTTATAGGTAATGCTTAATAGGTAATTTTATAATTTTGTAGCATTAATTATGTACGAAACTTACACATTTATACTCAGTGCAAAAATGTACAATTGAAATAAATATACTTCTGCTTTTGTAAAATATATCGTATGGCGATAATAATTTTTCAGTACTTCATAGTTTAATTCATTCTTTGATTGTGTCATCATTTTCTCCATTGCTGTAGGAATATTTAATGTAGGTATATCTTCTATTAAATAACATCCATTTCTGAAGAGAAACAAAACGTGATCCTACAGTAAAATTATAATAAATTAAAAAATAGTATTTTATTTTGTGATATCTTACAAATTTAATATATAATACGTACATTAATTTGTGATGCAAGTGACATTGTACTTTCAATCAATGTTACACCTTTGTAATCAGTTAGCACTTGATGTTCGACTTCAATATTAGTATCTTTTTCTATTAACAACTGAAGATCTCTAAGAGTAGTATTACTATCAATTTCGTATGTATTAATTTTGTAAAACGGCAGACAGAAAACGTATAATATCTATGAAAAACACAAATTAAATAACAAAAATGAAACGAAATAAAAGTAAAATATGCTTAGCTTTTATACATACTTTGTTTAATAATGCATCTTGTAACATTGTAAATACTGCTAAATGAGATGTACCAAATTTGTCAACCATTTTTCCTCTTTTATGTGGATCCCATTGTAAAACTAATTGAAACCATTGAACCATTTTGTTTCGAAGACAACTGATACAGGAACAAATATTACACATACTTGTAAATATACAATATAAAAAGTTATCAAACAAAAGTTACATAAAAAAATTATTCTTTCTACAGAAGAAAGTATAGAAAAATTATGTAATACATTCTTACTTTGATAAGTGAGTTGGATTTTGAATATCTTTTCCAAAAATGACTTTCCCTTCTGACACATAAGCATGAATATCGTCATAACTTTTATTTTTTATGTATTTCATCCTGCAGAATTTAATTAAATCTAGAGTTTGCATCAAGTTTTTATTTCATCAAATTTTTATTTCATTATTTATTATGTTTTTCACTTTTTACCATTCCATAGTATGTTGCATTGTTGGTAAAAATGGTCTTGTTCCAGTCACAAGTTCATAAAACAATATTCCTAAACTCCAATAATCGACAGAGCAACTATATTTCTCTTTCCAAAGAAGTTCTGGGGCAACATAGTTTAAAGTGCCAACTAAAGAGGCAGATGTACTTGTTTCTCCAAGTTCTTTGGCATATCCAACATCTATCAATTTATATGAAATCTGTAATATATAAATGTAAAAGTTTAATTTAATCAATGCATCATAAGCTACTGATAATTCAATGTAAATAATTTTCTCATTATATATCTTGCCATATTCTGTTCATCCTGTAAAACTATATTTTCTGGTTTTAAATCTCGATGAGTTATATTATATGAATGTAAATATTTTACAGCCGATGAAATTTCACTCATTACTTTGATCGCTTCTGTTTCATTAATTCCACAACAATTTTCTGGTTGATTTAAAATCTGTAAGAGAACATAATTATTTCGCATATAAACTTTGTATAGGTCAGATTTTAAATAAAATACAACTTTTCTCAAATCTCCTTTTCTACAATATTCCATACAGAGAATCGGTTCGTTTTCTTCTACATTTGGAAGTTTGAATGGGACGCATCCTGTTCTCACTATGTTTGGATGCTTCAAGCGTTTCATTATAAAAACTTCATGAGCCCATCTTTTTCGTTGTGTTGGCATCAATTGTGAATAATTACATTTACATCTTTTGATTGCTGAAATTATAATTATATGCAATAATATATTTTATTATATATTTACAATGTTATAAGTTTGTTAATATGTATGATTCCTCTTGGAGAATTCTTCAAAGATATATACATATATTTTTTATATTTATACTTGTAATCATACTGAAATATTACCAATCTTTTTGCCACTTTGAACATGTATCCAAAGCTCGACAATTCCAAAACCTCCGCTACCCAGAACACGATTTAGTTTCCAATCATCGTTCGATGTCATTTCGAATTTGTATTCAGCTATACAGATCGAGGATTAATAATTCTTAGTAAACGTGATTCCACGCTGATAAAATAATATTTTTATATTTTTCGTAAAAGAAGCATGCATTCATATAAATTATAACACCGCCTATCAATCGAGATTTTCTATCGAAAATGCATTAGCTCAACAAGAAAAAGAAATTATTTCGTGATGTAAATTTTTTACTAATGTTGTCGATGTTGTCTCTCATTAACCTGCATATATGATTCAACATTCTCCAGATATCTCACTTGTCGATGATATATACCGATTGGCTACTGACTACACACGTGACCGTCCTTATAATATTTTGTCATATCATATGTATACTTTTTCACTCAGTTTATATTGAAGTTTATACACTCTAGTAGCAGAGAAAAACCTATTCAGTAGCTGTTTCATCTAATTGACATATTCCGTTAGATCCTAAAATTTATAAACAAATAAAAGAGCTATTGAGCATTCAGCAAGTTTTTAATACTTGTTCCGTTTTTTAATGCGTTCCAAATTTTGTTCTAAATTAAGATTACAGTAATGAATTGTTCCTCTTTTAAGTATGTAAATAATAATAATATCGACCAATCATAGTTGATTATTCTTCTCACATTCGACTATGATTAATTAATTTCTACGCTTATTCCTTAATTCACTACTATTGCCTATTGTAGAATGGGCTTCACATTTATTATTTTCACTTATTCTCTCATACTATTATTATTTTCATAATTAAAAGAGGAACAATTCATTACTGTAATCTTAATTTAGGGCAAAATTTGGAACGCGTTAAAAAACGGAACAAGTATTAAAAACTTGCTGAGTGCTCATTAGTTCTTTTATCTGTTTATATTTTAGGATCTAACGGAATATGTCTTACTTAATTAAAAAACGCTTCAAAGCGTTTGCAGCATCGCGACTGCACCCTGAAGTGTTGATTTCAAAATGCAAGCTTCAGATTGGCTGTAGCAACAAACTTACGATCGGCTTGCAACTAATGTAGAACCGGCTTAAGACCGAAGACATAAATAAGACCGGAAAAACGCCGAGTGGCCAGAAACAGCACAATTCCACCATGGTTGATAGTTGATAGTCCGATTTTGTGTTCGCGCCTTCTACATCATGAAACAGTTACTCACACCAATTCACAGATTTACCATATTGAAAGTATCTGCAAATGGCGGCGTTTAAAGAGAGCTCGAAATCTGAATCCGGAATTAGTGCCCATATGACTTGATTCTTACTAGAGGAACTCTAGGGCCGGTATTCATAGTCAGATCTTATATTCAAGATCGTCTTAAGTATAGCCTTAAGAAGTCACGAATCAATCAGAAGGCTGCATTAGTGTCTTAAGACATTACTAAGACGATAATTGTGGATTTTGAAAGGAGGTAAAAGTTACAAAAGTGAGTAAAGATTACTAGGTATTGACCAATTAAATTATGAATGCTCTTGTGAATTTGCTCATTGTTGTAATTTTCATCTTATTTGGAGATGTACAGGCTGCGGTCAAAGTCTCGTTACTAATGCTTTGAAGCATTTGGTTGACCAATTAGAAAAAAAAATTTTACAAATTAATCAATCAAAAATTGCTTTAAAGCATTTGCGTTAACCGTACCCTATATCGACTGTTAAATGGGTTAAAATCATTAGATCAATAAAGTATCGCAAACTCGCATTCATTTTCACGCGAAACGCGGCCATTTCGAATTTATGCATTTGTATTACATGCTTTATTTGGAAAAATGAAGCCGTCAAGTATGTAAATCAATACTTTTTAGTTGTAATTAGTTTATTAATGAACAAAAAAATATATATGAATGCTCAATTTACGTGTTCTTTAGTTTAATACAGATTTATTTGTCGTAGATTTTTTGTGCATAAAAGTGCACGAAAGATACGTGTAAGTACAGTTCAGAACTGTTCAGGAATACAAAAGTACACATCATATGTGTGATTATCGCATGAGCTTGGACATTTTTAAGAATTTTTTTTCGATCGAGGTAAATGTTTTTGCTTTGGTCCGGGTTATTTTTTAAAAATGGCTGACTACAATTGTGGATTTACAATTGGCGATTTTGCTTAACTCTTATCATACTTCACAAATATCAGTCCTTTTTGATAATTTAATTCTTCCAATTAATTCAATCCATTCTTTTCTTCTTCGTTCGTTTTTTCGCACGCCAAACCTATAACCTTTTATGGTATTGTTTTTGTACTTAGACACACAACTTGACATTATTAATTTTAAGCACGATACTGATGATAAACTGGAAAAAAAACCTTGAAGAGGTTTTTATTGTATTAATATCAACCCAATGATGAATTTGCCTTCAACCTCGAGATTGATGCTTGAAAATGTTTCAAAAATATATGATTAGATTAGCTGCACCCAATTGATTCAATGTGGATCCTAGTGTACTTCAATTAATGTATATGCACTTCGGCCATTTTTACGCGACATTTTTCTGAAATCAATTGCGGTACTTTATAATCTAGGTAAATTTCTCTACCTAAATTTTAGGTATGGTGGAACGAAAGCGACATCTCGATTGAACTAATTCTGATGACTATTTTTGACCACGCTTTTTTGACGTCCATGTAAGTTCGGCCTCCTTATTCTCTATATTCCATGATCATAAAAAGTACTGGTCCTGAGTTTACTCAATGCGCATGCGCTAATTAATTTTGTGTTTTGCCATCTCCCATCATTGATAACGTGTCTCTCTGAATGTAGGATCTAGTAGGATCTGATAGGACCGCTGGTTACAGCCTAGTCGAGTCTGATACTTTTCCATCAGTTCCTTCGTGTCATGCGCTAAGAACTGTTTGTTTCGTTTCTTCTTGTTTTGTGATTCTTTTGTGTATCTGCATTCTATCTAATTCTGATCGCGTGTTCGACTGTTTCGAATTGCCACAAATCGCCATTCGTCGTTCGAGATTGTTCGAGACGCCTCAGCTTATTTCAGACTTAAATGGATATAGATTGCATCGCACGAGTCCGTGAAATGCTCTATGGAATACAAAGAAATATTTTTTTCTTTATTTTCACCTGATACAAGGCACTTCGCAGAAGAATAAATAACATTACATTTCGCAATCTTTCATATTTTCAAGAAGTATCTAGGTTTTCCTTGCTAGTACGGGAACGGAGGTTGTAAGAAGACGTTTGAAGGCGATGGCATCGCAAGAAGCACAGGATTTTCATATGGCATACGATATGCATGAAAAGTTGAATTGTTTAGGCGTGACAGAAAACGCAGTTAGCTTGAATAAGGTATTTATTTTCTTCAATGAGAACATCATTTTTTACATCATTGTATAAAAAATAAATTTACTTTCAATTTGATATCTTTATTGCATTGTAAAAGAAAATTGTTTATTTTTAGAAAAATGTTTATATACAATCATTAGTCGATCAAGCATTGGAGTTAATTGATCCCACTCCTAATATTCACACAATGTTTATACAATTTAATGCAAGATTTTTCTGGTGTGTTTTATCTTCTGTCGAAGTCAAATGGAGTAACAGAATGACAAGGTAAATATTTCTCATGACTTGAAGTATTTTCTAAAAAGGACATAGGTAACATAAATCATTACATCCTTGTTGTTTACCAATATGAAACAAAGATGAAATAATTCTATGTTCTTGCTCATATAAAATATTGTTATTTAGAATGTATGCCATTCTTAAAGCTTATAAAATCATTTCATCTTTTTTGTTACGAAATATTAAATATTAAATATAAACAAAGGGGTCGTTTGTATATTTTGAAATGCAATAAAAATTACAAAAAGTGATTCACTAAAATATTTGTATCATTAATCAATTTGTTCATTTTTGTAATTTTTATCTCGTTTCATAATACACAATCAATCCAAAAAATAAATAATTACAAGAGCCAAGTGATGCCTTTATATAAGAGGCCTATTCTTTTTAGCTGAACTTTTGCACTAGTTCATCTTCCTCTTTTTCCTTCTTGGAGAGAAAAAGAAGAAAGATGAATAGTACAAAAGTTCAGCCATAAAGAACAAGCTTAAGGTTTGTTTTCTGTTTCTGCACTGGTTGCATTAGTTGAAAAAGTGTACACTAAAGCATTTTGTGTTTCCAAAATGGTATCAGCGACACTGTTCCAGTGCAACAGAATTTGGTGCACGAATTCATTGAACTGGTTGCATTAATGGCCTGTTTTTTTTGGCTGAATTTTTGTACCAGTTCATCTTCTTTTTCTCTCCAGGAAAAAAGAAAAGGAAGAAAGATGAACTGGTGCAAAAGTTTAGCTAAAAAGAACAGGCCTAGTTTAATCACAGAAAACAGATCTTGTACAAATGCAAGAATTTACAATAATAAAACAATAAAAAATATATAAATGATAGTAAGCCTACATACAAAAATATTTTGTACGTCAGTTCTGGATTGCACTAATTCAGTTCTAGTGCAATTCTTATGCAAGAACTGAAAACTATAATGTGCAATTGTTTATAGTTGTGCTGGAATATGTCGCTTTCACTCACGTAATAAGGAATGTGTGATATCACTCAGTGCACCATTACTTAAACTCAGACCAAGGAAGGATCTAGTAGAAACCTTATTGGTAAGTTTTTCGATATTAGTAGTAATAGTAGCAGGAGGAAGAATAGGTTAAGTTCTTAAATGAGATGTAGGAGAAGTAACGAAATCGAACCGGGAATTTGCCAATTATTTTTTCTCATTGTTTGATTGACTCTCAGTCCCGTAAATGGAACCAAATCGGCCAGTAATAAATTGTCACCTAATTTAAGTCTTACATACACTTAATTAAATTTGTGTAAATATGATCAGTGTAGTAAATAATGCTTCTTAATCTAAATCGGGATCTTACTCATCTCAACTGGAATTGTTACTTATAATTGGAGCATAACTTAAACGTAGAAAAAATCCAGCGTATGTGAGGTGCGGTTGAGATCGCAATCACAGATTACTAGTTTGCAGACCGAGCGCCGAGCCATTCGACGTTTTATTTGTTGATTATGAATATTTTGAAATAGAGTCACCTCAAATTTTTTGATAAATAAATACAGAAATATAATTGTATAAGGATGTTGTGTGTGTGTGTGTGTGTGTGTGTGTGTGTGTGTGTGTGTAATATTTTTGTGTGTTAAATTGCAGCACGAGATGATCCATGCATATTTATTTTTAACAAATAATGATCAGGACCGAGATGGTCATGGACCGAATTTCTGCAAACACATGCACAGGATAAACAAAGAAGCGGGAACCAATATAACGGTAAGCTAATAATCTTTTTATTTTAATATTTAAGAATATATTGTCGAACAGTGATATGTGACTCCAAAAATCCATTGTCATAGATAGTCCTTAAACCTTATTATATCTTATTATATCACTTATTATAACAGAAAGTACATTTCAATAAGTTCAATTAATTATTTAAATGTTTTCGTGTTTCGAAAAGAAAAATTTATATTTTATCATAAAATCTAATCATATTAATACAAATGTTATATATCATGAACTCGTTTGGATATTGGAGAATCTTTAAGCTTAATCTGGATTTATTACAAAGATTAAATATCCGAATATAGATTGGATTGATTTTGTCAAATAGATTTTGAAATAAAATTCTTAAAAACAATTTTGTTTGTACATTTATAATAATAATTTTGTATTTTTAAATTTAACAATTTTTTTATTCTGTAATAACAAGATTCGTTTATCATGTTAATCGAATATAGATTTATCACAACTTTCATGATGAAGTAAAGCTGTACAAACAGCATTGGTGGAAATGTAACGGACCTTGCCAATACAGACCACCATTCTTTGGAACGGTTCGACGAAGCATGAATCGTCCGCCCGGTCCAACAGACTTTTGGTGGCGTGAACATCAACAAAATTGTAATGGTCAATTTGTAAAGATCAAAGAGCCAGAGAATTTCAAATCGCGTTCAAAGCAAAATGATAAGTCAAAGAATACAAGAATAACTGATTGGTTTCCAAAGAGTATTTCGGCGGATACAGCTATACCTACAACTTCAAAAGCTCTTAGTAATAACGACTCTAAAATATTTACTCAAACGGACAATGTTAAGCCTAGTACAAGTAAAGACAATGGTGGTACAAATTCGTCTCACACTGTGAATGAGAAAGATACTCAAGATCTGTCGTTGGGAATGAAGAAGCTTGGCAGCAGTAGTAATAATGTACATGGTTGGGGTACCAGTGGCCCGAGTGAAAACGCAAAGAAAGATGATGCAAAGAATGTTTCTAAGACTCCCAAGTTTTCTTGTTCCGGTGTTCTGGGAGGCAGTAGTAGTGGTCAGAGTAATCTTTTAACCAAATTCAAACTAAATGACAGTAAAAATCCCCTATGTGAATCAAGTAAGAGAGATTCAACCTCGATATCGGTTGCGGGACAAGCAACTGCTAATGATTCGATTTTAAATCTAAGTCAACCAAGAAATAATTCCGTACCTTGTCCTATATGTAACATACCTATGACTTTAGAAAATATATATAGACATATAGATTTATGCCTAATAAATGATAATACATCATTGATTGATGAGATTAACAATAATATTAATAATAATAACAACAATGAAGAGTTAATGTTACCTATTCGAACGTTTTCTACGTCGGTGACGGAGCAAAGTGTTGACACAAACACAATTTCTAATAAGCGCTTAAAATTCGATAATTCGAACGATACAGTTGAATGCGTCACTTGTCCCGTTTGTAATAAAAGATTGCTGGCCACGGATATTAACCAGCATCTTGATGAATGTCTATTAGAAGCAGATACAGCTCGTAAAGCTGCCATTCCCTCCACCTCTCGTGCATCATTTGATGATAACTTAATTACTATAAGCAGTTCCTCTAATTCTGATTTGGATAATTCTGTATTGATGGAGGAGCCACAACCAAGTACTAGCACTTGTAATAACGACGTAGTGGAACATAAATGTTTAGTTTGTAACACACAGATCGCACCTGAAATATCATTAAATGAACATCTTGAAGAATGCATTGGAAGTGTTTTTAATGACGACATAATAATAGACGATAAGGAGGATGATAACGATGATATGCTTGCTATAGAAAATAATTCCACGGAAAGTAAATATCCCTGTCCAGTATGTATGCAAATAATATCGGAAAATCTTATGAATCAGCATTTAGATATGTGCCTTAAAAATGAATAAAGTGGTCTTGTGAACAGAAAGAACGACAATGAACTATTTTGCGGATAATGAAATGGTTTTTTTATCTAAATAAGTATCTGAATAAATATCTTTTCATATATATATATATAATTTACTTCTTTGCATATTGCGATTTTATACGAGACAGACTAAAAAAAATATATTATAATACGAAACAAAAACATTATTAAATATGTGATTTAAAAAAATGTTTATATATTACTTGTCATTTATTAAATAGAAATTTGAAATACATTATAACAAAACCTGTGTTATAAAAAAAGGCACAATTTACATGCCGAATGTAATTATTAACAACGCTTGTATAATCTGTATATAATGTGTGTGTTCGTATATATAATTTCATAGATTAAGTTTTTCGATGATTAAGACTGGTTAATAAAGAGTTTAGATTATTTATCTAGAAATCGTTATATAAAATTCTTAGCGTTATTTTTTAATAAATAGTAAACAATACTTAAGGCTAGTAATCAGTTATTATCTAGAGCTTTAACGTTATGTCATTTAAATTAATATGTTAAAGTTGCTTATCATTTGCAAAAGTTTGTATTTTATAGAAAAAAAAAATAGAATGATTATAATGGAATGATTTGTGTGTACGTGTGTGTGTGTACAAATCGTTCAGATGTTCGGCTTACATTATCCGGCATTTGCTCGTTAGCAACCAGTTTATTAACAATTGAATAACTGATAAAACTGATATAATGTATAATGAAGAAATTTCGAACATTAAAGTTCCCGAGTAGTCACCACAGTCATATCTAAAGACACTGATAGTGTCTCGGCGCTAAGGTACGCGCAGCGACACTGCCGTGGCTACGCGAGCCGGCGAATTGCTAGGAATTGATTGAATAGGAATTGACGTCAGAAACGAAAAGTAGCACATTAATTTTTGTTACACGTCAATTGAAAATAAAAACACTTTGGATAAAATGATGAGATCGCTTTAAAACATTTATAAAAATGAACGAAAACTACGCTTATCCCCCCCTGAGAATCAGTAAATAATTGTAAAAAAGTGATAAAAGGCATAGTAAGTAAAAATAGGCTACGCATTGAATAAAAGCGCTTCACGTGCGCTTTTATTCAATGCGCATGCATAGTCTATTCACGATTTACTGTGGTGACTACTCAGGAGCTTTAATTAACTGATTGATTCGATATCCGAAAATTCGAGCTCTAGTTATATAATTATATAGATACCTTTTTTTGTACTGTACTATTTATAAGATATGTATTAAAAAATGTATAAAAAATGAATATAAAACCATTATTTTGCGATCATTAATATGTTGCATTACATATGTACATCTTTTACTGAGTAAATTAGAGTTTTTCATATAATCGGTCGATATTGGGATGATCGAGTGTACATATTCCACAACTAAATTCTAGTACATGGTTGGAGAAAAAGATTAGAACTTGTTCCTGTGTCCAACGCATATATAGAAAAATATTAGGTAGCAAAACATCGATTGCCTTGTCGCCCATTTTAATCCTGCACACAATTGACATTATTATTTTTTTGTTCTTAAAGAGTAAGAGTGAGATATATATATGTACACACATATATATATATATATGTGTGTGTGTGTGTGTGTGTGTGTGTGTGTGTACACACACACGCGCACACACACGCACACACACACACACACACACACACACACACACACACACACACACACACACACACACACACACACATATATATATATAAACTAAATCAATAATATGATAGATCCGTTTTGAATATAAAATTTTCAAAAAATAGACCTTGCATATTATGGATTTGCTTTTTATTTAATATTAAATGTTATTTTCTCTACTTACTTCTTAGTTCCTAATTTATGAAATGCGTAGTCAGATTGCAATTGTATGGATGATGTGGCGTTATATAAGATTCCTCTATCTTTGTCAGCCATAATTCGTGTAGTTCCCGATTCATCAGTTAAATTGATATTAATCCCATATACACCGTTGGCTGCCGTTAATACAAATCTAGGATTTTCGTCATAACATTGTCCGAGTAATATCACTTCGCTATTTTTAGCAAAGCTATAAACCGTATTATACGCCGATTTTATAGAATCTAACGTTATAATACATGCGCCTAGATTATAACATTATATTAAATAACTTTTAGAATCGCAAAAATATCGTGGCATTTTCATCAATGGACAATTTAAGATAATCAGCATGATATTACGTACTGGAAAACATTCTGAATAAAGGTATTTCCATATACTTATGAATTCTCATTCGTGTCAAGAAGAGATCAATGAAGTGCGAATTGTATTCAATCGCAACTTTATCCCCATTAAGTTGCAATTCACCAACATTTGAATCTTTCGGAAAAATCGCAGTTATCGCAAGCTGATCGGATTTTCTTGCAATGCTGCTATTACCACCGATAAGATCATATAAGGCATACAATTTCCAAACTAGTTTGGACAAACTCTCTGGTAACTGTCATTATAAATTTGATTATTATATCATTACATATTTGCGTATAAAGTTTTACGAAGTCTTTAAGACTTACATTTTCATATTGTGCTAAGATTTTGTATTTTCGCAATGTTGACATTTCTTTCGATACTTCGTAACAAGAATTCGTATAAGAAACAATTCTTTTCCCCTCAGATTCATTTTTGCATTCGCCATAAGGCCAGCTTGCCCTTTTACTTTCTTCGAGCTGCTTGCTACTAATTTCACCAATTAAATTAATCGATAGAGATGATCCGCTGCATTTTCCTTTCACAGTATCGGACAACCCCCAAATGAAATTTAATTTAATGCGATAGGACTCACTCGGTTCATTACTCAAAATTTCCCATTGCCATGGCATGTGTCTTTCGGCCTCTACGCAAAACTAAATCAATTTCGGTTACATTCAACGTTATTGTAAATTTCATTTAGAATTTTTCTGTTTACCTTAAATACGCGTTCATTAGGCACAATCTTAGTTGCTTTAAATTTAATCACATCTGATAACCAACTTGTGGCTTCGTACAATCCAGCTAAATTCCATTGATGAAGAACTTGTGAGGACTGCAGGTCATGGTGCGTCAAAGATAAAATATGACGATTTTCACTTTTTATGTATTCCAATTTCGTCTAATAAAAATCATTCGATATAATGTATGTAATAAATATTGTAGTCACAGGTACAATACAAGCATACGAAATGTATTGAGTTATCCAGAAAGTTCGTGCCGATGTTGAAGGAAAATTGAAACGCAGAAGATTTAAATTTTAGTATACATTTATTAAATTATATAGATTAGTCGGCACAAACTTTCCAGACAATCCAATACTTGATGGCAGTCTCTCTCTTTTTGCATCCATGAACAAAGTTCCTTCTTTGATTTTTGTGTGATTTTATACAAATATCTGTATCATACCTGTGACGGTCCGGATTTGAGTGCCTCAATATAAGCAGCTAATCCGCAGCTACCTTTTGGCGGCACAAAAGTGAAGTAATCCAAGAAATGCAATCCGATTAAGGCAAATTTCATACTTGGCCATGTTCTATAATTTTTAGAAAAATTGAGAGAAAGATTTATGTATTTCGATGAAATAATAAAAATGAGATATTAAAAGAGATAGTAAGATATGAAAATCATGATAGTGACAAATCTGAATAGAAATAATCTATAACAAAATTTAAGTGTAAACGCAATCAAATGCACGCATTCCAGATGAATTTTTAAAATTGAGTTTTTCTCCGAAATAAAATTTTATATTAAAAAATTCTATATTTTTACTAATTTTATTTTTTCATATAGAATCATTACTTTTCTGGTTATATTACGAAATATCGTACAAATAAATAATGGATGAGTATAAATAATACATTACTGATAATTGCTTCGATGAAAGGACCAAATATCGTTAATTAATGTTTCATACGATATCATGCTTTCGCAATCAAATATTTTTACTTGTAATCGATCACCTAATTCAGGAAGTCCAACATTAAGAATATTCACCGTCTACATAGAAGAAGAAAAAAAAGAGAAAAATAATTTATATATA